CCCGGCCCGTTGAAGGGCTGAAGGGCTCAATCAAAAAGCTGCGACCCATTTAGAGAATCCCAACTAGCGCCTTTGTGCCTGGCACGTCGTCATTCCTCTGTATCTGCCGGACTTTAACTAACGCCGCCCTCGTCGGACAAAGTGAACTCTCCCCGAAGCGCGAAATCATCACCGAGAACGTTTCTTTATCTTCACGTAAATAGGAAAAAGCCTAGGCGAAAAACTGAACGAACGGATTGACGTAGCAGAAAATTATAATGTGGACGATGTATTTGTATTTAGAAACAGTGACTTCCTGGACACACTCTCGTGTAAGTACTTTACTTCACTGGTCAAGTATCCGAGACACGATTAATTGTAATTGAAATTTAAAAGGAAAGCTTAAAAAGAAAAAAGACGTTTATATTTGTATAATATTTATTATATTTATTGCATTAATCTCAATTATTATTTTTAATTTAAATAAATTTTTATCAATAAATAAAAAAATTAATTTGGAAAAAGAATTACCATTTTCAACACCTTTCTTTTTTTCAATTAGATTATTATTTTGAACTTTTTGATATTGAAGTCACCTTATTTAATGCCAATAATTTTTTATCTAAAATATTTTAATTTTTTTTTTATATAATTAATATAATTTTATTGTTTTCATTTATAATATTACTTACATTAATTATAGAATGAATAACAAGATATTTATGTTAACGAAAGTACGCAACTTCGATCTGAAATAATACCATCGAAGTTGGACAAAATTATCAAACAATTAATGATCCCGCATTTTCCAAAAATTCAAAGTTTATATGAACAGGTTATTTCGTTTCATGAATGAACATTCAATTAATATCCGTAAAATGATTAATTTCCAAGTTCGAAATATATTTATATGAAAACGGCACGGTCCCGTTGTATGTACCGTGTCATTATTTATATTTCATGGTCCATAAATCGAGAGCTAATTATACGTAAATATTCGAATTTTCAAATACGGGCTTTCCTCCCTCGAATCGAAATACCTTGCATATAAATAATTTTAATCTGCATATCTAATTTATCCTCGCGCGTGGAAAAAGCTGCAAACCGCTTCTATCACTCGTTTCCATTTCTATCTGCTCTTGATAACGACAGTCCGCGATGATCCATCCTCCATGACGGAATCCTTCTAATATTAAAATTCCACGCGTGAAAAAAGCTTTGCTTTATTACCGGCAGAAACTTGAAAAAGTCCATTTGTATTGGCTCCATTACGCGATAAAACTTTGACGGCCAGGAGATACCCTGTCGGCGATAAAGCGATATTAAAAAATGCGTAGTCTTCAATCAATGATTCCGTTATCAATTCGAATCTTTCTCGATAGCCAAAATTTACTGCGAAAATTTAATCGGATTCATGAAGCGTAATTCAATTCTTTCCACCGAATATTATTATATATTAACTTGATGATATTTATATTTATTCATTTGTTACGAATTTGATCTCCAATGATTTTAGAACGAATCATCCCCGTCGTCCAGTGTCCATTTGCAAATTCTGATCACATATCTGATCTAGTCTTTCGATCAAATATTATTTTAATCAGTCTTGTAATATCGATATTATATTTTTGTCAGTAATTTGATCTGTAATAATTTTATATATATTATTTTAATTAATCCTACGATCCTTCGTCACTGTACAATTCGATCCCCAACGATTTTAGAATAAATCATCGTCCGTCCATTTGTAGATCTTTATAAATCTGATACATACAGTTCGTTGAAACACATTACACCGGTAGATCTCGGTTAATCGTGAAAATTCTGGATCTCGTTGTCGTTAATTTGTTTATTCCGCTCGGTAACACCTCGCGTGATCGCTTCGAGGCTGCGTTGATTACAAAACAGTTGAACCATTCGAAGCGTATCGAACGAAGATTAAGTGGGTGTGCACGCTTATTTCCAACAACGGAATTTATGGACTCGGTAGAAACGGAGTTGTAGGAGTGGTCGAAAGCGAATTTTCGAGTGGGACTCGTTAATTTTACAACGACACGCGAGTCTGAACGTAACGCTTATTATTAGGTGAATTGTGTCGTTAATGCAGTATTCGCTGAACACACTCGTGAAAGGGACAGTTTTTTTTTTTCTTTTTTTCTTTTTAAATTACAGCTTCGTTCAATTAGTCTACGTAAGGTTTTAATTTATTGTGAAAAAAGGAAGAACACAGCGCAAGTAAAAACAATTTTAATCAAGTGCTTTATAACAGCAGTACGATTTCACTCGCGTTACCTGATGTGTATAACCTAAATAGTTTTTTCATAGTTTTTAATAAACTGATTGTTACGGACAAAGCTTTATGAACTGACTGTCACACACAATTTCAGTAATCCCCGCTTTTATGAATTATTTTTCTGCAGCATAATTTCTTGTTTCAAACGTCGTTCCCTTGTCCGATGCTCTCTTACTCTCTGTCATTTTCATTTTCAAATTTCACGAAATTTTAATGATTCCATATAACTAATTCTAATTCGATTCTAAACTAATTAAATCGAAACTGAAACTATAAGTAAATTCAACACTATACAATACTAAATTCACGTGGTAATGTATTATAATTAGCACTTAAGAGATCGGTACTTAGATTCAGATTATACAGATGGAAGAAAAGAAAAACATGTGACCAGTATGACCGTATAACAGATACTTCGTTTTAATAAATAACAAATTAAGCTCGTTCGCGTAATGAACAGCTATTAGAGTGAAGTATCGTTCCACGAATCACATAAATTAATCATAAAACACTATTTACGTATAAAATTACGATGACGAAGTAAATTACGTACTTCGAGAGATTGCAAAACCATACTACTAGTTGTCACGTTACCTACCGACTATTACAAATTACGTAATAATAATTTCAATATACTTAGAGCATCAAAATTGAAATTATCTAACATTTATTTGTTTGAAAATACGTTTGACAATACATTAACCACAGTCACGTTGTGTAGAATCAATTAATATTTGCAATATTTATGACATAGGCGAGTTGACATAGGTACGTAACGCGTTAAAAATAGCTCGAGACTTGCAAAAAAGTTCAAACAAATGCGCGCAACTTACAACTGAAATCGATTTGACTTTTTGCGGATTAGAACAACTATTTCACAGTTTTGAAGTAAATATTTAACTTGTTGCAACGTTAATACGTGGAACACACGCGAACTATCGTTAGAATAAATCTATGATTCACGCTGCTCAAGTCTGGATAAAGGCAGTATCTGTTAAACAACCAATTTGTAGCAAATTGATATAAACTTTGATATAAGCTTGTTATCTCTAACTGTACTGTGTTCGAAGGCAGGAATATTATTGTCATTTTATTTTTATTATTTATTTATGCATATTATTGACTATTATTATATATTTATTTATATTTATATTATATAATATATTTATATAATTTACTTATATTATATAATATATAATATAATTAAAATATAATATAATATAATATATTATATAATTTATTTATTTATATTATTGACATTTTTATCATATTGAATCAAGTAAATACTCATGTATATTTTACGTAGTTGATTCAAAGATATAAATAATTAATTAATATTACTGTTGTATACATATAATAAGTTATACTGTAGTAACTATAGTATAATAAGTTATACTAAAAAAATTAAATACTAAAAAGACTAATAAGTTATACTGGTAGACAAGTTACCATTTCTCTCCTACTCACTAATTGAAAAAAGTACATAGATTGCATCTTAAATTGAAATGGCGACTCGTCAAATTTTCAAGAAGAGACAGACAAGATTCTAGCCTAATTTTATCACGTGAAAGCTTCGACAACAACCACGAATTATCATACGTTTTACATAATTCGCAGTGCTTATAAATTCCAGCCTTGGATCATGTAATTCTCAAACGAAGTAGAGTGAACTTGAAACACTGCGTCGACACATAATCTATTGTATCACAACGAGAAACCGATTTTCGAGCTGCCTGTTATATATATATATACATATATTACTACATCATTATCCTGGAAGCAGGAGAGACGAAACAACCCAGCCATGTTCCAGTTATCGAATGATAAGACCTTTCACCGAATGATAAATTCATTTCAATTTGTTTTGTTAAATTAAAATGAGATTAGATAATTAAATTAAAATCAATCAAAATGAAATCAAATTTAATTTGTTTCGTTGAATTAAAATAAATTAAAATAAAATCGGGTCATATGTTTTAACGGGTAAGTTAAAACAAGATCAAATCCTTCTTTCTTTCCTTTTTGGTTACATTAAAATGAAGTCAAGAATCACCGAGGGGGCCTTTATCTTAAATAATAAGACGATATTTCAAAGTCATGATACTAAAGTTTCTGAACCCTGTGGAGGAAGACGTTTTACGAATGGATATCAGTATACATAATTCCAGCCTCAAATTTGCGAACACCCAATTAATTTTCATTATTTGAAACGAGGAAAACTTCGCGTCGAAACCTCCAGCGAATTTTCATGAAGATTCGTAGTATTCAAATGGAACTGTTCACGCCACGCCTCGTAAGTTGACTCTCGAGAGCTCGTGCAAATTTATTCTAGTTTATCCGCGACGGTGGGCACCCGTTTGTCGCTAATGCTAGTGTAAACTTCAAACTTCCAACACATTCTTTACACGTTTGTGGTGTTACGAAGAAATCAATGAACAACGTGTCAGTAGCCTTTTTTATTCTTCAAAAAGTTAATAATTCAAAATTACGTCTTGACTTGACTTGCGAGTAATAAAAAATTATTGGAGAATTGCCTGATCACCAGATACTAAATTTAAAATCACTACAGTATATATACATATAGCAATTCCAAGATAAAATGTTTAATTTCATATAACCCTATAGTTTTTACACAACTGCAACTTCAATTTATTTGTAAAACGTTAGTGATGATGAGCAATAATAGAGAATTTCAAAAATTGGACATGTACAAAACAGACAACGTTGTAAATAATTTAGACGAAAGGAAACAGAAAAAGAAAGAAAAACACTCACTTGAAGCTCAACCCATAAACCTTGGGAGTTTCCGGCGAAGTTGAGGTGCATCTCAGACAATTAAACCAAGGTAGACAGTCGATGAACATTGTTCTGTGATTTTATGAGAATGAGCCGCTGTCAGATGGCAGTACACCCGTGCACTTTTCTTTTCACTTTTCTTCAGTGGCACAGTTTCACTGGCTGTTGGATGTCATTCACATTTTTACACGCATATTATTATGCATATCACGCCATAAAGTGCATAATTTTAAACTCGAATTATCATTAAACGAATCTACTCTGAATGTTGAAGGAGAGTAGCAGTCTCCGTCGTAAATATTCAATTTTAATCATCTCCAGTGCAACAACACACGAACACAGTGGCCACGAAAAATATTTTGGCATCTGATGCATTCATGCCTCGTCAGTTTCGTTCGAAAATATGCAAATACTGTATTTATTATCGAAAATTAACATCGACGAAAATCTAGAAAAATCGGTGGAAATATATGTACAGTATAGGATGAAGAAGTTTTGAAATGATATTGCGAAATCGATACGAATCGAATAACTATATTTAACTAAAGACAGGTTTATTTTTATTAAAAATTACCACTAATCAGTATCGAGCGTATGAAGCTGCTTATCGGATCTGATAAGAATTGAAACATGTCGTTCCAAACAGAAGCAAAACAAGAAGCAAAACCAATATGTCAAAATATTTGCTGGAATATTCCTGGCTTGTTTGAATAAAATCGACATAAGCTGTACGTCACGAGCCGGTCTTCCTTGACCCGTACCTTCATAAGATATTCACTATTATAGCTACTCAATGGCTTCCACAAGCATATACTTCTAACTTCGGTTTGTTTCAATTTGGTCAAAATATCACTTAATTGAGAAATAAACATAGTATCTCTCACACTGAGATATTTTAAATAAAATTATATCATACAGACTGTTATGAAATAATAATTAAACATTTTAGACTGCTCAAAGAAAATCAAAGATGGTAGAAAGAAAACCAGGTGAAATCTCAATCTTCTTCAATTTCCGATGGAATATTTTAACTAAATATTTTATAGATATGGAATATAATATTTTATAATTCTCTAAAAATCGCCAGATATTATAGTAATCGGAGCGTATTATTTAGAGAGATTGTTAGAAGACAAATTCTATTAAACAAAAATTGTTAAACGTGTTGAAGGTTAAAAAATTAGAAACATGTCAATATATTGTTAACAATAACTTTTTTTAGTAATACATAACATCTTGCTTGGTAATGCAAACGTTGTGTAAAGAAGAAAATCATAAAATTTTTTTTCCCTGACATTTCCTTGCATTTTAATGAAACATGTGACATCAAGAGAACATTTATGTACGTTTAGCGCGTTCTTTTTATCGTTCACTGAAGGAAAACAAAAAACGTCATGTCATACGATTAATACGTAAGACTCCAACTTCCAATCAGAACGTACTCTCGCAGCATGCCATTAATTTCGTCTGTGAATTGCGACGATAGACGGAGACACAAGAAAAAAAAAATATGTAGAATGTAAATTGCCGTTTATATTATTTAAACAGTGAAATTGCAAAACGGTTCGAGCACGCGAAAAGAGGAGGAAAAGAGGGAAACGAGATGAAGAAATCACCGGGACCCAAACGCGAATTGAACGAAGTTGTACACCTATTCATAGACTCCTATTCGTTACAGTTGAATTAACCGATTGCATAGCGTTCTGCGTGGAAATTATGCGTGGAAACAGTGCGTTGTAATATTCAACGACGCTATAATATACAGGTTTGGCATTCTATTAGCAAATCGATAATTTTATGCGGCCGACACGTCTGATTATTTTCGAGTATATCGAGGTCTGTATATTCCTCAGGTAAGAATTACTCGATCTACTGATCTAAATATTTCAAGGCGCGTTTCAAGGTTTTGGTAAGTGGATTCTTATTTTTCGAAGAGAGAAAGAGAAAAACAATGAGGAATGTTGCATAAATTCGTGCGTTTAACCTGTTCCACTTCGAAAAATGATTACAAAACTTGAACACACAACTTGTAACTGTTTGATAGCGTGCAAGTGCAAGCGCAAAGTGATAAATTTCAGACAATAATATTGGTGGCATCGAGCCTAAAAAAATTGATAAAAGTCTTCTACATTAATTTACTCTTCTTTCTATTTACTCTTTTTTATAACAAACAGAAGTTACGTACGCAAGTAACAGTAAATTAAATTGAAATGTACTGAGAAAATGAAAGAAATCTTTTGCTTCAATGTGTTTCTTTTCTAATAAAAATTGTGCGTTTTAAGTTCAACTAAATTTAGAAAATGATAGCAATTCAAATAAATCTGGAAAATAATTCTAGAAATTGTGTGCGCGAATAATAACAAATCGAATTCAAATAAATGATAGCGTGTGAATAATAATAAATTGAATTCGAATAAATCTGGAAAATAATTCTAGAAATTGTGTGTGCGAATAATAATAAATCGAATTCAAATAAATGATAGTGTGTGAATAATAAATTGAATTCAACTAAATATAGAAAAGGATAGTAAATTGAATGCAAATGATTCTAGAAAATCTTTAATTTTATATGCATGTATGCGCATATAGTGTTTGATAATAAATAGGAGCTACGCGCACATGCGAGTAAGAGCAAGCAGGATTAAGAGAAAATGAACATTTAAATAAGATTTTGAAGATTTTGTTGAAGCACGCTGTTACACGTGTATTATAAAATTAATTGATTCAAGTACGTGGAGTGGCTTTCAGTGTTTTCAGTGAAACGAGACCCTCTAACCAGCGAGGTTTTCTCCACATACACCGAGGATAGTTGTTAATTAATCCACGGTTGTTCATGCGAATTCAACAACTTCCTTTATCCGGAAACGAAATCGTACATACCGTGAATATTACGATTCCTCTCGACTTCAATTTATAATAATATCGGCTATTGTCCTTCCCAGCAAACGCGAGCTTCGTAAAAATTTCGCGAACGCATCGGACAAGAAATTTTTCCACGATCTTGCATATTTCACTGAAACCGAGGGGACTCGATGGAATACAGCGGAATATACGTCATACTTCGTAGAGGAAAAACAAATCTCTCGTGAAGCTGGTTACATTCTGAAACAGTGATTCCCAATCTTTTTCGAGTCGCGAGCCCGACTTTGTCATAATCACGTAACTCTGCTCCCGTTCGATGCAAAAATTATCTCTAATGACGATCGTTCTTGCTAAATTTTGAAATACATTGAAATATTCACGAATAATTTGACGCGGAACGTTTGAAAAATTTAAATACAAATGGTTAATTGCACTTGACATACTTCTTTTTAAATATTCGAAATATTTAAATGTCCGAGTCACTCTACGTCGAATGTCGAACTAAATATTTAAATACCACGTCATACCGTACTTTAACCTACCGTATTTTATTTCACCTACTGAAGTATCATTTTCATTTTGGTGAACTTGAACGGTGCAACAGGATTAAGTAACAATCTTTCATTTATCAAACCGAGCGTAGCCACGTTGAAATAAATGAAATCACCGGAAATCACAGTAATAAAATTTGCAATGCAATAACCATCCACTAACAATAACCCACATACTGCACGAATGCCACTGACTTCTCAAAATGACATGTAAATAGTATTAAAATATCTTAAAAACATAAACTACTACACACATATCTAATGGCACCGTCGTCGCTAATGACCTCGCTGTCGATGCGACATTAAAGAAAAATAGAAGAAGAAGAAAATTTCCCGTAAGAATAATTAGATAAGCAATACGTAATGAAACAACTTTCAGGAGAAAACACCTTGCAACTCCCTAAACTAAAACCACGATCGACAGGTTGTTAATCTCGATTAACCAAAGAGAGCAAACAGACCGACCAAAAAGACAACTCGAAGCGTAACATCTAAAATTTCAATCGGATTCCAACTCGTGTAAAATCTAGAATCACCTAAAAGAGAATCTCCGTAAAATCAGTCGAACGTTATAGAGTAACGTCAGCATTTTACTAGACACCTCGGGAATCCGAAAAATTCCAATCTAAATAGATTTCAGTTGGGCCAGTGTGTTCGAGTGAGTCTCGGGCGTGAATATTCCCCTCTTTGTAACCGAGATTCCGAGGTTTCGTTCAAAGGACGTTTCATAAATTCGATTCGTATCGTTTCTCTTCACTCGCGAGGCAATACCAACGGCACCACTGTTCGCAGGAAACGCGTCTGTTCGCGCGTGAAATCGCCGATTTATCGACACAATCGATCGGAAACCGAGGGAACCGCGTGATCCACGGAATCGATCCACGTACTGCGGGTACGAGCCATCAGGAGGAATGCTATAATGGACGTGTCTTCGTCTTTCTTTCCCGTTTGTTGTCTCTCACCGGTTCTCCCTCTCCTTTCAAGCAAGACTATATAAACAGGAGAGAGAGGGAGAGAGAGAGAGAGAGAGACCGGTACGGAACCGAGCGACTCGTTATGATCACGCGAGCTCCTTTTGGTCGTCCTACGTGAAACAGCCCACTCAACAGTTTCTGGCTGGCTCTGTTCTGTCTGCGAAGGACACTGGAGAAACTGGATTAAGGTATGCAAAAGGTGTGTCGCGTTGCCGCGGTTTCAACTCCGATACGTACGTACTTTGAGATATTTTCTGTACGATGCAATTTTTCTGTGTTTCAACCACGTTTGTCGTGGAAAAATTTGGAGACCACGTAAGGAGTATAGTAAGTATAAGTCGTATTTTATGCAAATATCTTTTTGTTGTGAAATCTTCAGTTGACGGAAGAGTTTGATACAAAGTTATACAGGAATTTCGGTATAAAGTGATTGTTTATTTGTAGTTAAAATAAGAATTTTGTTTGATGGTTGTTATAAAATGAAGCTTAATATACTATTTTCTCTTAACGTTACGTTTGCAAACGCTAAACTCGCTACTCTCTGGGCTCGCAACTCACTGTATTCTCGCTCTTGCAACTCGCAATTCTCTGATTTTTTCCTCATCTTCACAAATATTCGTCGTTCATACACACAAACGCATCCATGTCCTTAATATCTTAAGGGCTAGCAATGAACATTCCCAGGTCCTAGACCTACTTTCTCTACAAGGCTACAAGGCTACAATTGTTGGGCACTGGAGAAAGTTCTGGGCCCTTTGCCAGAATTTGCCCACAGTTATAATGTAATCACTGCAATATGATAATTAAATTGATCCACTGGACCGAAGGTTTTGACAACGAAAGTGTGTTTGTACGACACAGGTCACTTTTAATGGAAAATGGCTAACACTGAATGCTCCAGCATGTTCTCCGAGTTATTAAAGTTGGACAGAAAATGAAATGAAATGGTTCGTGTTAATTGTTAATCATTTAACTTTCGTAAATTTGAAATTTCTTTTTTTTTTTATAAATCAAAAAGATGTTGCAATTTTTTGGCAAAAAAAAAAAAAAAAAACGATAACAAATGTTCACATCTTCTCGTTGAAAAGAGTGATCGTGACCAAGGTTATGAACGGAGAGGAAATTTGAAACGTTGTGGAACAGAAAAATGATCGATATCAGTAAACTTTCTTACATAATGATCAGACTAAGCAAACACGCATAATCAAACGCAAACGCGTCAAGATTTCATTTACCTTCGTGTTGCGATAAATCTACATTCTCTAATTCTGTAAACATCACTGGCGGAAACGCTGAGGCGGAATTTCTCAGGAGGGTATATACCGCAAAGGGTATAACAAAGTTTACAAAACACGTCACTAACAATTACGCGTGCAAATTACTAATTCCGTATGACTGCACCTTGTGAACTTGCTTCAAAGCGCTTTCGAGAACTTCGACGCGAAACAACACTTTGATACCGAAATTTCGAATACGAGTGAGAGACAAGAACAAAATAACACGTGAACGTGAGGTCCTAGTATGTTTATTTCGACTGAACAAAATTTAAAACTGTACTGTTTGAGCTCTCAGGTTCTTATTAAAAATTTATTGAGAAGAATCTTTAAAATTCTTTTCAAAAAAAAAAAAGAAAGAAAAGAAAATTCATGAAACGCACCAGAGCTATTTATTAATTGTAATTTAATACTCTAAATTAGTAACTATACTACTAATTACACAAAACTGATTGGAACGTTTGTGTCGTAGTATAATTTATTATCAAAGATATCTAAAAATAGTAATCTTCTTTAAATTAATAGTTTGACAGGTGCGTCAATTCCACTAACACTAACATGTATAACTGATGATTGAAACCAACTGACATAACCATCGCGCTGGCCTTTGAATAATTAAACAGTGTTGTCAGCATATTTCTTCAATGTATTCGCACCGAGCACTACGCTAACGCAATATTTTCAAGTAATATTTGTAACGTCCATAAAAAATGAAGGAGGATTCAATGACAATTCCTTTTAATCTATTCAACTATTTTAACAACATCAGCAATTAGAAATGCAAAACGTTATTTCGTGGAAGTGATTAGTAGGAGTAAACAGTCAAAGTCGTTAGTCAAATTAAAGTAAACGTTGGACAGAAATTTGTAATAATTACACGAAGATTCTTTTCAAATGTATTTCGAATAATATTTGTTTTCCAATTAAATTTATTCACGACCTCCTGTTGGAAAAAAAAAAGATACGAAAGATGTGAGACAAGCTTTATACTTATATTTGTAGAGGAAATAACGTGTATCAGAATCGCGTGTACAAACTGAAAAGATAAGAAAAAAAATATAGAAGAAAATTTTTCGATTGGAGGCTTCATTTTCCAGAAAATCGAGTTTGAAAATTTAAATTAAGTATACACGTGTGCCAACACAATTTTTAACGAAACATATCAAAGTCTACTTACTTAAAAATTAAACTTTTCTGTCGCGTCTAGAATTAGCTGAATTCGATAACTTTGATAAACTTGTCAAGCTCGATTTTCTTCAAATTAAAAAATTTTACTCTATATTTTCTTCTTACTCTTCTCTGTAAGAAATGATTCGTTTGTACACATTACCCTAACACAGCTCCCATACAGAGAGGAGACATTTGTAGTTTTAACTTTGTAAGTGAAATAATGATTTTTCAATGTCACGTGTCATATACAAATCTTACGAAACTCCTTCCAAACAGAGAAACCAAACAAGAACCACGAATGTTCGCGAAGTATTTGCCGATAAGTATACACTAATTGCCTTACGAACGTCCAAGGCTGTTTCTGCTAAAGAAATATTGCAATTTGAAATGGCGCAAAAAAAAAGACATTTCAAACGAAAGTAAATATTAACAAAAGAGAACTCAGTTAAACCTAACTTAGTTAAATAATAAATGATCATCAAAATTCACGTACATCGAGGATTAACATTGACTAACATCGATTGACTTTTCCTAGCAACAAACACTGCGATCAGTCACTTAATGTATTCAACAGGGCGACTATAAAGTCAGCATTTTTTAAAAAATTCGCTTAATTTCGTCAAACGCATGAATATGTATACGTGAACTTTTCTCCGGCGTAATTTACGATCCTTCAGAGATTACTAAATTTGTTTGCTGCCCGTGTAATCGTGAAAGCCATGTGAACGTGACTGTCGAATATTCACGATCCTGATCTGTAAACATCCCAAATCATTCTGCTCGAAACAATACCGATATCCGGTCGATTAAAATAAATTTCCTTCTCTCGTAAAGTCGGAATCAAAATTTACGATAAAATTTCCGACAAAATATGAAAAAAAAACTCGTTAAAAAAACGTTACTCGTAATTCTATGAATTTTATTAAAAATTATTGGAGAAAGAAATGAGTCTCGACCTGAACCTCTGCACTTTTGCGTAAAACAAAGTTCGAAATTTACAAGGCAAAGAATGGAAATTTCCTTTATTGGAAAATTGGAGTAGTAAAGATCATAAGATCTTCTTGATACGAAAGAAAAAAAAAGAAAAAAGAAGAAAATCGTCGTTATTCGTTTTTAGAAAAACCGATTCGACATCGCGTTTCAGAGAGTGAACAATACGAGTATGTTTCACAATGGTAGCTAATAAACAGGACATTACGTTCCACTAAGGTACATTTAATTGCAGTTCATGCGTTGCTAACTACGCAAGGTTGTATAAACAGATAAAGAGGTAGCAAACGTAATCCATCTGAAACACCTTCGTAACGTATCGTGCACACATCACAGATGTTATTATTAAACAATACGTACCAGACATTATTCCACCATTTTTATGCCGCGCACTGGCGAACAACAAAATATCATTATCTGTATTTAAATGAAACACAATCGAGCACAAGGACAACGACTGTAGAATATCATCGATCACGTTGTCGAACATTTTTTTTTTCAAACGCTTCTCCAACAGTTTTAACTTTTCGAAAGTGCGAAGATCAGTGCCAACTACATGGAACTTCAGAACGCATGAATAAAAAATTTCGAACGATGAAAGGGCACAGGTGAGAGCGCAGAACGAGCCGTTCTAGTCCAGAGAACAATAAATTTTCGCATACTATCAACCTTTCTACCAGTCCCGGGTCTATATGCCAGCCATTTTTTGCATTTTACCGTGTCAGCACGATTTGACGCGTTCAAAGATTTGCTGATATCGCCGCGAACAATAGGTAAATGGCAGAACACATATCGCCGATCGAGAAAATAGAATCGCCATCGTGGAGAGATGTTAGAATATCTTTTCAAGTGTAATTTAATTTAAATTTAATGTCGTCCGATCGAAATATTTCTTCGACTGATCGTGGCTATTCTAAAGAATTCAAACGCCTGCTCCAATGAGAAAGCAGCGCCAACATTTATACATAGATTGTATTTACTGAAAGAAAATTGAATACGAATTTAGAGCACAGTTTTCAATTAGCTCGATTTGTTAGAACCACTTTCAAATGCTGAGAAAATGGAGATGGCTTTCTTCAATATTCTTTCGAGGAACACGAATATTTCATTTCCGAGACAAATATTAACTTTGCCGTTTCTCCTTCTCGTTTCTGGAGCGTTCGTGTATTTAAATTCGCGCGAATGATAATTTATGTAAAGGGCTGGACAAAGGGAGCGAAAAATGTTCTATAAATAAAGGGGTCGGTGGAAATTAAGTTGGAGAAGATAGGTCAAGATAAAAACAAATGCAAATGAAAAATGCAAATCTGCCATTACTTTGGAGAAATTCCTTTTGAACAATTCCTGATTTACGTGAAATTGTCTGTGAAACGTGTTATATGTAGATTATCGCTTTGGCATGCAGATGAGACTTCACCTCAAATGTCCTTTAAAATTATTTTGCAATTCATTTAAATGTATCTGTGACATCGTAGAAGAATATAGAGAACATTAACAACGAGAGAATATTTTTAAATTCTATTTTCTTTCTTTTTCTTTTCTTTTTTTTTTTTCTTCTGCTTTTTCGTAAACAAACGAACTAATTTCTCATCTTAGAGGCAACAGACTCTACAGAATATTTTAGAAGGAATTCTAATTCAAAAGTAACAAGTATCCACTGAAGCGCGGAACTTTTTCAAGAAAGTTTTTGTAAAAAAAAAAAAAAAGAAAAAGAAACGATTTCGACAAGTTTTTAAACGATCCCTTTCGGCGGGCGCGCAACGAGCAGCGAAGTGAACTTCATCGTCGAAGAATTAAATTATAAACACGTAGCAGTCGAACAGAATGTTATCGCTCGAGGAGATTCGTATTCAAGTTCGTTTAAACGTTTCTGAAAGGGGTCGCGTTTCAATTCCATTGGGAAGAAGAAAAAGTTTCGCTAAGAGAATGTAACTGGGTAAATGGAGGGGGATTGAAAGAAAAACGAGTGAATGAAAAGGGAACAGCGAGAGCGAGAACGGTCTGAAGCTAGGCCGAGAATACCTTGCAATGGAATCGCTAAAATACCATTGAGAATCTGCATGGTACGCATACATACAATATAGTGAATTGAAAGAAAATAATGAAAAAAGAAACAAAAATAGAGAAGAGAAAAGAAACAAGAATGGCTTGAGCACAAGAGATAAAATGTCGCTGAAACTCCGCCCCTCGATTCGGTTCAGACACTGACCAGGTGAAACTTGATTACCGCCAACAGCTCGCCGTTGCAACAATAAGCGAATTTGTCAAGAAAAAACCGGCGGCAAACCGAGAAAAAAACTTGTTGCGCCACGTAACGCGCGAATTTCTTTTCGAGCGTCACGTTCCAAGTCTGGACGAAATAGCCTTCGAAAGACTCACTTCTTATTGTTAGAAGGATCGAAAGAACTAAGAAGAACTTGAAAGTTCGCCAGGCGAAGGACTAACAACACTTTTCGTCGCGATAGAAAGGTATTCTCGTGCAGCTAATCTCACGCGTATCGAGAGATATTTATTCTCACCCTTCCTTATCCTCGTCTCGATCCGTCTCTTCTTTATTGTCCTCGTCCGCCATCCTCCGAGTTGAGATAAGTTCCCTGCGACGATCGCGGCGAAAGGCTTACGAGGAGGCAAGCATATTACGAGGTGACAAGTGAACAACAATCCGCCGGTTGGCGATGAAATGAACCGACTGTGATTCGCGACGATGGAAACAGACCGAAGAAAAATACGACCAGTGTGTGCTCTTGCCAATCCGGACTCACCATCAAATTTTGCTCAACTGGCTCACTCGAAGTAGCCCAAGGCATCGTTAACTGTTACGGCTTCTGAAATCCCGCAAGCACCCAATTCTATTTTGTATAATGCCATAATGCCATTAAGGGTGTTCTAGATCGCCCGTATTTTCCGCCTGCGGTGTGTTATTGACGGAATCGCGCGACGAAACGGAATACGATCGTCGAAGAAAGGCGCCAAAGGGAACCAAAAGTACGAGAGTAATCGTCGGCCATTTGTAATTTCCGGCGGAACGGAAACCACGTTTGAATCGTATATATTATCGAACGTTGAACGTATAAATGTTACTATCGTAACAATAAACAACCTATTAGACTACGGTTATTTATCCATTTAATCGGTATTAATATAAATAAAAATATTCTTCAACTGGTATTATCACGTCTGCAAGCCCTACCGCAGTATATTTTCTTTTAAATTGAAACAGCAGTAAAATTAAATTCTTGATTATTATCTAACAAAGTCTTTACTATTATCTAATGAGTCAAGAGTAGAGTATTAAGAGAATTATCTGAAATGTATCTACAAAAAATTGATCAGATTAATTATCAACGTCAATCCTAGGGGGAAAAAAGGAAAAAGTTTCAAGGTCCCGATACGAATAGAAAAGAAATTGGAAAACCGAAGGGGATTTATCTAAGAAAGATGGGCTTCCTCTAAAATGAACTGACATTTTAATCCCGCTCATGCAGGAACTTTAAAGGGATACCTGTCGACATTTCAGTGTACGTTACACTTTACGGATTTGTTATATAGAAGAAAATTACAGTCTACACCAGTCTGTAACTCCCGTTAGGAAAGGCATAATACCTGATGGAACTTCTGATGCAACGTCTGGCTGATGCAACCTCTCCGGGGAAAGTCGCGGCGAATCTGACATTAGTTCCAAACTGTTTTAAATTTCTAACAGGATCAACGCGACTTGGAGATGTTAAATAACCCAAATCTTTTATGTGCACCTCCCTGAGGCGCGGCCTTCGTACGTCGGAACTAACGTATGTACGTTCTAACGTCAAATGTTTTGACACACGACGAATGAGAAAAGTTCGCAACGACAAAAGGCCCTGCACCAGACACGATTGCGAAAGGTAATTTTGCAGAAATAGCGCGGCGCAACTGCGTAATCTTGCTTTCATTTCCGTCCGGCCGTTAACCATAAAGCTTGTGTATTTCTAAATGATTACGCCGAGCTGCAAAACTGGCACGTACATATACGAAAAGCACGTAAAACACTCGGTATTGTTATCGCGATCCCATTGCACTACGCACTATTAACACAAGAAGGCTGCAATTTTATCTTATCGCGCGATTACGAACACACTAATGGTACTGCTCGCGGAATGATTTAATTGTCGGAGAACGACAGAAACTATCGTTTTCCACGTCGCGTGGAACAATAAACACGGGATGTGAAATAATAAACAGAAATAGTGAATCGTTTCGAGACGCTTGGGTAATTTAAGAGACCTTTGTGTCATGGAATTATTATTAGATCGTTTACTTAGCTAGTCTACGATCAAATATACTCGATGGTGTGAGTCTATTTAGGAAATGCAAACGTAACGAATTATATTGCTCGTCTGTCACTGACTGGTTTGTGAGTATTCTTAAAACATATGACGATAGATGTTTAAATTCTAAAATTGAGGATCTTCGTGAAAAGAGACTCTGTATGCTTATAGCTTATACTCACTCTGTATGTTATACTCGCATATTTTCTAACCAAATGATTGAATTACGTTTAATGGGGCTTCGAAGCAAGAAGATCGTTGTAATTATCGAATGTTTCAAAGACTGTAATTAAATTATCCAACGCCGGGTTCGCAAGCTCGCTTCCTTCAGAAAGCTCCTCAATTTACCTCAAGTACTATATATGTATTTAACGATTAGCTCGAATTTCTCTCAGGCTACGCTGCTACTAAGGGTTCAACTAAAGAAATAATTGTAAATGGAGTAAGGTCAACTGGAACTCTTACCGGCTCGGTAAGAGTTCTACTGACCTAGACTGGTCTAATCCCAGCTAGAACAACGAAGACTCGTTAAAAGTTAGGGAAAATCAATCAAGACCACGCTGACTCGGTTGAAGCCTCATCGATCCACCTAGATCTAATCCATGCCTAACCTGAACTCTCGAAGGATCTAAACCAGATCCAACTTGTAACGAGTTCCGGGAACACTTGCCGAGTTCAAACAGCACCGATTGACTTGGTATATACATGTCATGATAATTTCAAAGGGCTTTGAGGGATTAGCAAGATCTAATCTAATGGAAGACTCGTGTTCCGTGTACTTGCCTGTCAGATAATACAAGCTTCGCCGGCCTCAAATTAATTTTAATGAATTTCGCGAAACGAACATCCACGATATCAAAAATAATTCACTGAATTTTTTTGCGTAACATAACATCCGAATAATAAGAACAATGTCGAATAATAATTGGAATAGTACGAAATATATACAGCCATGCCGCTATTAAAACCACACAACTTTTGTATTAAACAATTTTGCATTAGACACATAATTTAAAAGTTATTTCAGTTGTGCAAGTTACGTGAACGTTACCCAGTTACATGAAACAACGTAACTACGTAAGATTTTAGCCAAAATAATTTTGTACGCCTTCGATTAAACTCTGAGAATTCCGATTGTTTCCAGCCTAATTAATAGGGCATAGGTTAATCGATATTCAATTGGATCGATATGATCTGCGAAGTGTTTGTAGGGATTATACAAGACCCGACGTTATGAGCTAGATTTTGACCAGGCCAACAAATCGATCAAGCTTTCCTATTTACATACATTATATCAAATGATTGATTCGCGTGGAAGCTTACAAATTATCGTAACGATGTGCATGTTAATTGTCATAATTACACATGTATAAATTATTATAATAACAAACGGATGGAATAACGAACATATGTCTAAATTATAAATAGAGAAACCGAAAATGATGTTTGAGAGGCAAGTTGTACTTGTGAAAAATATACTTTTTACAAAAGTATAAATTCTCTATTACACTATTTATATTCTACATTATCGTATTTTACATGGTAGAAATAAATTTTCACAGTTGGATACAATTATATCTAACTATCTCAATTATTCGTTTCAGTTATCTTCAAATTGCTTTGTTCGAAGATCGCGTTCCCCTAAATCAACCGCGGCTCTTGTCATTTTTACCATTATGTCATTACCGTGATAGACATCCTGTACTAGACTCTCAGGTACAGAGTCAAAACAATGAGATTCTATGCATAAGAACGCTATTCATTTCACTATTAACAGCACGTGTGACACTCTTGCTTACACGGATGCACCTCACTGACTTTGGCTTTATACATTCCCCTGACACGATCTGAATCGTGGCTATTGTGAAGACGTAACGAAGCGTCGCTTAAGCGACTTCTGATATTCCTCCCACCCCCTTCCAACCGATGCATTCTTGTTTAATTTCCTGCATGGAAAGCAACGGCCACCTGATGATATCGGGTCTCATTTTCTACGATCAACGGCGTGAAATATCCTTTCTATTAGATGTTACCCGAGAAACGGACCAAAAATCGTATTTTAATCATAGATAACGAATGAGAATGACGGAGAACGATTAATTGATCGCGATAAAGGATCGTTCGATCGAATAATAACGAATAAATTCTGTTCGTACGGTGGTGAATTCATAACTTTAATCCCAACAGCGAAACAACAGCGAGGCACATACGTAAATCGATTCGCAGAAACTTCAATTCGTGGCACTCGTACGTATTTCGTGCATTATTTTCTCATTAGTAAGAGAAACTTACGGAGAATATAATACCGCATGTATCGATCTCGAAGGTTATTTATACATCCCATTAAAATAATAACGATTTTGATAACCATGTTCGGTTTACCTATATAACTTTCCAGAGCCATTTTTTTCCTACGAGAAAATTATTATGCGTGAAATTCGAAGAAAACAATTAACTCTCGATATTACAAATATCAATGATTTTAATTCTGATTCTGAATAAAATTAACCTTTAATTAATTCATTAACTCTGTTAATTTATTAATTTTATTATTTTAATTTAATTTAATTCATTTAGCGTGCAATTATACTTTATGTATAATTGCACGAATATTTGGGCTTTTAGTATACTTGAGATAAAATTGATCATATGTTTGAAATACAATCTGTTAACTATTCAAACAGAACGCTTACGTTCCAGACATTAGCCATCCTTTGTTAACGCAGAGACGCGCAATATATAACAGGAAATACGAATTCACGGCTCTTATGCATTGTTACGCAACAATCTGCAATCAGTATAATCTCAAATTGTTTCAATTGTATCACGATACAACGCGTCGTGAACATTTAAATTCTTTGCTTCCCAATGTAAGTAATACATATAATGTACACACATAATATACACACATTTTCATACACAACGATACTGAGTGTAGGCCAGTACAAGTTGTGTATCATTCATAGGCTATTTTTAAACCGTCGTCAAATTTAATTGATCTTTAATGGTATAATTGAGCTGACTTCCTATTTTGCATTTCATAGTGTCCTATCATACCGTATGTTGTGTCATATTTGTCCACTAACAACCTTCTACACTAAAAATGTATACTATTCAAAAAAATTGTTAACAGTACAATATTTATCTTTCAGCAATTATTATAATATATATATAATTTTTGCTTATTATGTTGAAAATAATAATAAGAAATTAAAGGTATCTTATTCTTTAACATTTGCTTCCTAATGTAAGAAAAGAGAAGAAATTGTTCGCGAAATATGATTTTAAAAAGCTCCATCAACCTTCGTTATGCTTTTTCCTAGATTAAAAATTCTAAGAATGGAACAGAATGAAGCAACGTAGGGTACAAAGAAGCTGAATACGAAAATTGAGAATATAAGAACATCGTAAAGAATAATCTGAGATAAAAGCTTCTATCTCAACCTCAATTGGAAAGACAGGATAACGCGAGCTTTGATACAAATTCATGTACTGCATTTCACAGAGAGATATTTTCATCTCCAATGAGAAAAGAAGTACATATCTGGTAGAAATAAAAATGTATGGAAGAGAAAAGCTAAACTAACTAAACTAGAACGCCTAAAAACTTTTTATTTGAAAGTATTTTAAACATCTTTGAATAGAAACGGTATTGTTTTTCTAAATTTTCTAAAAGGCAAAAATAAAACTTTATTTATATGGAATTATAATTTATAATTTACCTATCACACCTTAATAATTGTTAATAACGTCACATATTTTATCAATGAGGATTAAAATAATTTACTTTGATACTCTTAGAATTCACATTATCATTTTATCAGAACTTAATTACTACTTACTAATGAAAATTTAATTTACTAATGAAAATTTCTCAAGCTAAAAATATATTAGTCTGTAGCTTGAGAAACAATTCTGTAGTCTTTATTAAATACAAATTCTTGGAGTCATTTACCAATTGCTATGTAGCTAATAGCTAATAACTCCGATTAGACGTTAAAATTTTTGAAATTAACAAATTGAGACGTCAATAAACACGACTGACCAAGGAAAATGTATTAATTAATTTTGTTCTCTATGAATCTAAACTGTATTTTTTTAGTTTACCATCTGTGTAAATATCTTATCCTTGTACATATAATAACATTGAATAATGCATTTATTTTAATGTAATGTGATATGATTGTGCATTATAATATAACTAGTCACTGGTAATCCTAAAATGGATGTGACTTTAAACAAATAGTTTTCCCATTAAAATGATCTGAAATAAATTACAATGTATTAATCAAAACGAAATTTGATAAACATATCAAGTACTGAACAATGTTACATAAAAAGAAAAAAAAAATTATGAAATAATATTATGCCAAACATATTTAATCCAGTACACGTTCTACACGTTCTACACGTGACATTCTAAAAGCAAAAAGTGAATGTAAAGATGAAGTCACGGTCACAATGATAAACGCACGTCAAGTCTAGTTTAACAGATTTCAAACCTGTTTGTGACACATAAAATATCACTCGTTTGAAAATTATTCTAAACCTTTAAGAATAATAAAAAGTCATCGTTTTCACGCGTATCAGCATTTTTAATCTCTGAGCATCCAAGTGAAAGTTCGTCAACAAGAAAATCCTAATTCCCCTAATTTGCCTTTATTCCCTTATATTATCCTCGTCACGCTACCAATTATTCTCACGTTACAGTATGCCCGATTTCGTAATCGTTCTTATCGCGTGTTCCCCTGGTTATCGGGAAATCGCGAATTAACACGAATCACCACGAAGTCCGTGCTCGGTCGTCCCTCGACAGAAATCGTCAATTTCCGCCGAGTTCCGGCTCTAGCACGAGGCGTCGGTTTCTGTCTCTACGAAACGAATCTTCAAACACTCGTCGAACGTGATGCAGACAACACACAGAGGTAATGCATACCCACGTAATTGTATCCAGCATTAAGTGTCTGTCATATTCGGTTTATCAAAGGAATTCGTTCGTATAACCGTACGTATTGCTTAATACTTACCTCATCGAGAGTGGTTCCGTTGTGGCCAAGCCGCTCTGCAGTCAGCTTCTCATTCTTCCTTTCTTTTTCTCTCTGACAGCTAGCATTGTAGCCATGTGTACGCGAACGTGGCCGTTCTGCCGAACGATCACCGCCATGACACATCACAATTCCTCGTTACCGCGGCGAGATACTCCGAAACCGAAACGACGAACATTTCACGGCCTCACTAACACTAACACACGCACAATATCCGGCGGTATCTTTTTGGCAGCCGGCAACAGGTCGCGGTAGTCGTTATCCCGTAACACGCGTCGTCGTGTTATTGTTTATTGTTCAGTCCACGGCGGAGTTGCGGCGTCGGTAGTGTCGGGTTCTTGCTCTATTTCCGTCCCCTCAGGTAAGAGAGGAGGGACAAACGTAGTCCGGCTCGGACGAACGCTTGGAGACACTATTAACGAAGCTTAAGAACCGCCCGGCGAACTGAAAGAGAGGTGAAAAGAGAAAAAGAATAAGACGCGACGGTCAGAAACAGAGAAAGAATGAACGTAAAGGAGAGAAGAAATACAAGACTGGAGCCAGCGGCTACCATTATAAATAGTTGCTATCCACTAGCGATGGGAGTGATACTTCGTCCGCCAGGTGGAACAGCTGTAGATATCTCGAATTTTATTGAATCATCGATAAATCACGATAATTCAATAAATTTACAATAAATACGAGAAATTAATGAAATTTCAGGCATGAAGCAAGCAGCTTAAAATGCCAATTTTGTAGTATAAACGTGATTTGTTTGAAACTATTCGAGACTGTGTCGTTCCCATCGCTATCGATCGAGTGAGCTAGAGTGAGATGAACGAAAGCTAACGAGTGAGAGAGAGACAGAATATATGAAGGGAAGTATGTACGTGAGGAGAACAAAGATAGAAAACGGTTTCTCGTTCGTTTCTTTACCTCATGTTTTGCGTCATTGTTCCGTCACTGAGGTCTGCCTTGAATTTTAACGAAACGGTTGCGGTCCTAATGTATAAATCTGCACGATTTCCTTTTGACAAACGACAATTGCCAATTTTGTAGCTCCATGGTTGCATTGAACTGCAATATGAGAACTATTGAAATAGGTAACACCTATGCAATTAGCGAATTTATCAGTCAATCAACGTCAACAAAATCACATGTTTATGAATATGCTCCATAACCAGCCATATTTATGAACAACGTACTTCATGTTCATTAAAACGAAAGGATTATTATAACTATTAGTTTCCGGTTCACATTCAAAACAGGCACACTTTTTCACAAAAAAAAAGATGAAACAAAATATGCACATTACCTCAAAGTAGTTCTCCAAAACAATCCATTTCCGGAATACTTTTGAATCTCGTATCAATTATTTCAATGCAAGCTGCATGTTGATACAATAGTTGATCGTTAACACAACTGTGACACATAATTAATTGTAAAAACGCAAGCACGATCTCCCACTGGCAAAAACAGTTACTTGACTTTTTTCTCAACTCGAGTTCTCGATATATATCGAAATATCTCTCTTTCAAAGATCGAACTTCCTAACGTACCAAAGTTCGCACGACATCTATCATTACACGCAGGTTCCGTATTACTTATTTTAAGGATCGTTTGTTGGCAACACTTTGACGCTTCGTGCCTGTTTATAAGCTTTGGCGCGAATCCGAAATGTCGTGAGGGTTGTCGGGTATTTGCGAAACGGTCGTAAATCAATTAATATATTTTTGTTTCGTTTTTAGCTGGTGCGTATGTTGTTATGTATTTCTTGTGCGGTAAACACACACGATGAAAATCGACGAGTATAACAAGTGTCATGAAGAAAAGCAGCGTGTGCGTGATCTCGTGTTTATCGTATTCATCGAGAGCATCGTTGCATTCGTAATAAAGAAAGAAAAATCAAGAACGCTGGATAGAGATCAAGAAAAGAAAAATGCAGTGCTGCAATAACTTTCATAAATAAGCATAAATAACAGAGTCATCCGTATACGTCCTCTGCGAGACGAGTAAGGTTAGTGGAATGCTAAGCGAAAATTTTTTGACTCCTACACGTATGTATGTATATATATATATATATGTACTATGTGTGTATATATATATATATATACATAGTATGTATATAGGAATTTTAAAGGAAAGATTCGGGGGGGGGGGGGGGGGGGGGGGGGGGGGGGGGGGGGGAGGTAGAAGATTTCCTAATAAAATTTGCCGGTAAACGTAAGGAAAAATCGAGCAATGATCAAGTGTTAATGTCTTGAATAATAAAAACACTATTGAAGTCTTGAATTCGGAACAGTTTCTTCCATAGGCCTCTTAATTTACAATCGTGATTACAAGTATTGGTGTGCGTAACAAATCAAGGTCTTCTCCTGAGGGGCTGGGGAAGTTTCCTCTGCGGAAATCTTACACGATAAACCTCTTCCTTTTTTTTTTATTTCAATAATGTGTGTGCGTGTATTTTCTTTTTGTACAATATAATAATAATAATTGTAGTAGCAATAAAAGTAGTAGAATAATAGTAATAGAAGTAGTAGTGGTAGAACAGCCAAGAGGTAGTAACGGCGCGTTTTATCTCGCCAGAATTCTCGCCATTATAGGTTAGGCTCATCGCGGAAAGGTATAACGTGTAGGTCGTTCGTTTTTTCTCTCTTGTATCGTATTACCACGATCACTCCGATGTCGCAATAGAGGCTCGAAGGGGGAAACTACCTATAACAACGAGATTCTGGGGAAATGATTCGCCATTGTTGTCTCTAACTGTAGCCACGACTATGTATTCAATGGTTCGTAGGATGTTTCGACATTTCTTGGTGATCGATCGACTGAATCTTTGATTAAATGTTGCTGATCTTTCGAAAGAGGCGTCTATTCTTCCTCTTCCTCCTCCTCCTCCTCTTCCTCTTCTTCCTCTTCCTCTTCCTCTTCTTCTTCTTCCTCTTCCTCCTCCTCTTCTTCGGCGTCACCGCCGCCCTCCTTCTTTCCCCCCTCTTCTTCCTCCTCTTCCTCCTCCTCTTCTTCCTCTTCTTCCTCGAATTGTGGCTCCTCGAGCTCCTCGTCCTCAGCCGCAGCCTTCACGTCTTCCTCGCCTTCCGGTGATTCGGGGTCTCCCGGTTTCTTGCCTGGCCTCTCGCCGAACCATTTCGGCAACTTCGCTGTTTTTTGAAGAAAAAGAAAATGATATGTATTATACAATCGACGATATTCAATATTCGTGGCGCGAGAATTTTTGGAAATATACACGTCTCGATCGATGACAGCGAAGATTTGTTGGAAATTCTATTGTATATAAGAATATATTTCGAAGAATGTCTCGAAGGATAGCATGAGAATGAAGAATGGGAATAAGATTATAGAGCCGTGGAAAGCTACATTTCTCCGCGCAAAAATAAACAAGGAATTAAATGTACAAGCATACGCTTTCAATTTTCTGAAAGGTTCTCCTCGCTTTTCATCGAACGAGGTTCTTCAACGTTGGCAAAATATACTTCACTCTGTAGCCATTGCAGTCTGTCCTAGTTTTTAGAAAATACTCTGGCTGGTCAGGTTTACTCTGCCTACTCGCGACTCGAGCAAACGCACACCAAGATACGTAACACAATAAACACGTGAGAGGCAATGAAATGCTCTTTGCATTTATTGTACACCTTCATCCGTTTCATTTTACAATTCTGATGTACTCGATAACTCTCTCTTTTATATATATGTATAACAACTCTACATGGTTCTGGATATGCTCTGTTTTATTCGAATTTCATAACCAATAATTTCCTTTTTTTTTTTCATAAAACGAAAATTCTTAATAAGGTAAAGGAAACATTTCGAAATATAATTCTTTTTCATTAATCTTGAAAAACTTCAATTAAAACTACCGCATGAACCGCAAAGAGACTTTGATCCACAGTTCAAAAGAGATTTTCTTTTAAAATATTTTTAATAACACGCGATCTTCCCTTCCCAAAGAACTTTTTCAACAAAAAACTAAGTGTGACCTCTGTGCTAATATAGAAAGCTATTTTAACAAAGTAAAGGAGCATATTAAAACATAAATAATATAACTTTGAAAATAACCGCAATGATCTTTAAAACCACAGATATTCTTCTGAAATACTTTATCCTTAAGAGGTGCACGTTTATGAAAAGTTTGGTGTTGCGTTTGCTCGAAAATGAAGCTAGCATACATACTCTTCTGACGACCGAGGAATTGCTCCTTTTGTAGAGTCCATTGCTTCTCTATGGACTCCTTCTGCTGTTCGGTCAGACCCTGCAACATTAACGGACAAAATGGCATGCTAGGATATATCATCACACGGGGGCAGGGGGGGGGCACTCGCCTGGACCCTTTACTCGGTTTTCGAAATATCGCTGTATAGATTCTTCCTATAACGTGCTTGGGACTTAATAATAAGTGAACGAGTCCTGGCATTACAGCGGAACTTGCTTCGTGTATATGCATGTTGAATATTTAAGTTAAACGACTAACAAATGAGCTACATATTGACCATCCGTTAGCTTACGTTAATTACATGACACAAATTCTTATACCCTCTTGTACAGACACATTTAATTAGTCACTTTCTGTAAAGAGACTTTGATGGAGACGTGTCGATATAATAAGAGGCTAAGGATGACTGATGTCTGGTGCTATACGTCATCTTAAGAACGTAAAGAGGTAAAGCTTGGAGCATAGAATATTTTGTAGTAATTTTTTCACAAAACTTAATTGAAACGTGAAAAATATTTGAGACACAGTGGTACTTAATAATCGTACTCGTTATCTTCAAAAGATTAAAAAGAAAAAGAAAATTTGCATCGCAGAGTCTTTTGCTAAATAAGGGAAAATTAAAATGAATAATTTGCATCTGCCGAAAATACCTTGCGATCGATACCTGTGATTTCGCGTTTGATACGTGTTCCAAGATTCGTATGTGAGCCTCCTGTTCGCGATTATTCTTACAGTCGTGTTTATGCTTATTTCAATAATAAATTGTAAGGGAATGCGTTGAATTACGATCAATGAAAGGTGAAATGTAAGTATGTACATCATTTTGTGGAACGAAAAAACACGGGCATAACAACATTTTCAACGGTCTCTGTGGTCTAGATCTACTGTTTATTAAATGGTGTCCAACACGAATTAGAATGACGATCGTTTGAACGATCCTAGGGTAAACGAAGGGGGCAAGGGTTTCAACCAGCAACGCAAGCAACAGGGGTGGTACACTAACAGAGAGCTCGATAGGACTCACTTTTGGTACGCTTCATGAACTGTTCTGTTTTCTGTTTCCATAGTTTCTCGTTGTACTCCGCTAGAAGCGTGTCATAGCCCTGCGATTTAATCGATATTCTTCACTGATCATGTTCTCTCAAATTTTATCTCTCTACAACTACTTTCTTTTTTTTTTTTACGAGCTGTATCGCTTCTTCTTTGTCCTTGCTTCTTCGTCTCATATTTGATCAAGTACCATTTGTAAAAGAAAAAAATCTCGTTTCCATATAAAACCTTTCAAAAGATTTCGATTTATATTTTAATTATTGTATTGATAGATTTTAACCTATGGCAACACTTTCCGGATGCCATGTTTTTTTTTTTTCATTTTCTTTTACCATTTCGATTACCGATTACCATTATTGTTAGATTTTTGATACTTCCGAATCGAGCCAAATTCATTTGATCGTATCATTCCGGGGGAGCTGAGTATTTCGAAGAATCAGCGACTGATCGAATCTATGAAAAATATACTTACGCCTTCGAAGAGCTTCTTCTTATCGTCATAAGACCTGGTATCCACTCGACGTTCATATTTGGAGGCGACTTGGATCTTGGGCTATACGAAGAAAAATAGTTGTACAGTACTCGACAAACTTTCCCACGTGAACGTTTGTATTTTTATTATTTAATCGTGCCACTTACTGGGTATTTGCCGGTAAGGGCTTCGGGATCAAGACCTTTCTTCAAAGCTTTGTGCCTCAATTGTTGCTTTTGACGTTCCTTTAATTCTTTAAGCTGCGGGGAAACAGGACAGTTATTCGAAACGTTCCTACGCTCATTAATATAAAAGTATATAATATACATATATACAGTGTGTTCCACGACTCGTGGTCAACCGAGTGGAGGTGATTCTACAGGTAAAAATGTGTCGAAAAGAAACAATAAAATTTTTTCATTGAAGCCCTCGTTTTTTTTGAGAAAATCGAACTTGAAAAATTATCTACTATACTTGAATTTGGCTAATTCTATATTGGACAGGCGGAAATAATCGACACGAGGATATTCTAAGATATTCTAAAGTAAAAAATAAGTAAAAAATGTAAAATTTTTTCGATAATATTAATAAATGATTCGATAATATCGATAATATAATAAATGATGAATCGATAATTTCGATAATATAATAAATGATAAAATTTTTTCGTTTTCAAGAAAATATACTTTGAATATGTTTCGCTAAAAATTACTTTAAGCACACTGTGTACTTGATAAATTTTCAAACTCTCGAAAACGGAGGCTTTGGAATGAAAAACATTTTATTCTTTCTTTTCGACAAACTTTTACGTGTCAAAATCACCTCCCAGTCGTGGTTGACCGCAAGTCGCGGAACATTCTGTATTTCAGAACGTATTTTCACTTACGTCGTAGTCCTGACGTTTCTGTCGCTCTTCAAGATCGTATTTCTCGGTTTCCAGCTTGACAATGGTGTCCCAGAGTTCATTAGCTTTGGATCGAAGCTTCTCAATGGAGAAACCATCGATTTCCAAAGGTTTAATGCGAATGCTCAACGAGATTTTCTTCTCCTCCTCGAGCTGTTCTTTCGTCTTGTTGCGCTCCAGTTGCGCCGACGTAAGGTTACCCTTTTATCCAACAAAGAGATACATTAATAACACTCCAACAGTACGGGCCTACTGCGGTATTCTGTCGCGCGATACTCCACGTAGTTTCTTTCGAGAACTCGAAGTTTTCTTTGTGAAAAAGATACGAACTGCTAGATCTTTCCTAGTGATCGTAAAGTTGGGGCCCTTCTTGTTCGCTTGATCTTTCATCGCCTGCATCATAGCCTGACGTTTCTTTTCCGATTCTTCCAAACGTCTGGATAAAGATATTGGAATTATTTTCTTTTTTTTTTTTTTTTTTACATTTCAAACACGTCATTTATCTTGTTATATAAACTGCGAATTTTTACGAATTT